TTATCTTCTTCCCATGGACTTTTAAAATGTTTGCTATTAATATTCAGTTTTAGATATGCTTTTGCAATATAAATTTTATTGTGTGTTAGTGTCCAGGGTTTATCTTGTTGCCACATAAAATGCAAGGGGACGAATGTCCTAGATTAAATAAGTTATTTTCTTATCACAAATCTAACCCACAGATAGTGATAAGCTAGACTAAACCTTACAACAGTAGGGTACTCTGGTGCAGACACAAAATGCATCTTCACCTTTCTGAATACTTAGCATTAAAACAAAAGGCTGTCTGCAATTTATAGCAAGAAGCTTGATGAGAAAAAAAAGACATTAAAATCATATACAGTTTCTTATTACATTAGTTAAACAGCATACACATAGACACAGACATACTCTATATCATGCTGTAACATACAGAGGCCAATTCTGTAATTTTTATGCATTATGATGACAGATTCCACATAGAAATGGCATGGATCTGGATTTATTTCTTTAGGTGTATTTTACACAAGACCAAGGAAACTGCTTTGGAGGAATGGATTTTCTTTTCTATGTGATAGTAGGAAATAACTTCAGTAATATACTTAGCATATTGCATAAAGTAGGCAGCATACTAATCTTCTGATTCAGCCTCCATGATCTCCATGATCATTTTTTTTTGGTTAAATTCTAAAGCTTGAGTTAAGAAGGAGATCTGATATAAAGGACAGTTTCTTATGAATATGGCTTTCTGCCTAGCAGCTGTCAAGTCCATATGGAGCCTTGCATTGAATAAAATTCCCACTGAAACTGCCAAAGCCAGCAAAAGCTTTATAATAATCAGCTGGGGTCAAGAACCTTGTCTTTAAATTAGGGAATATAAAAGAAATATGTGACATAAACAATATGTCACTGTAACAAGGTAAGCTAACATTTCACCAAGAACAGGTGATTTAACACTAACTAATTAACGAATTAATGAATGGCAAATTTATTTTAAAGTAGAAAGGAACATTATAAAGAGCATGGCATAGCACATACTCCTCCCTCTTATAGGAAATAGTAATAAAATTCCAATACTAAAACTACAAAAACATTCCATTTGTCAGGTAAATGAGTTTATTTAACACTTGTAGTAGTCATAACCTTCGTAGCTTGGTGTCTGTTGTCAAGGTAAAGATAGTGAGAAGGGTAAAGATTAGTGCTCTACCCTAAATCCCTCTGAGAGATGGGATAGGAGGAACCCTGAAGAAGATACAAAGAAATAGCTTCTGAAGAATTCTAGAAAAAGGAACTCCTCAAATCAGCGACATCAAGCCTGACAAAACACCACACAAAGCCAGTCCCTCTACAATAGAGGAGACTACCCTTTCAGCTTGTCACAGCAATGAAGGAGTTTTTTTATTTTTCTGTTTATACAACACACATTACTATGCCCTTTTTTTTTTTTTTTAATCAGTATCTACTTTCCTAACCTGCCGCATTTTTTTCCTGGGCACCAATTTCAGCACTTCAGTGCAGAGGGAAGATGTTTAAACTTATTATTTACTTATTATTTATTATATCTACTCTATGGCAATTTCAGGTTCTGTCACCTAGATTTCATCCAGAATAAGAAGAAATACATGTCTCTGTATATGTGACCTGCATGTATATATATCAGCTTAGATGAAAGCTTTTGGCAACCTCGGTGCCACATCAGTTGAGAACAACATGTTGTTTGAGTTTGTAGTTGCCTCTACAACTGCCTCTTCTCTTCTGTGTCTGCCTCTTCTCAAGTTTCCATTCTCTTCAGCAGTTCACCCTCCCCTTCCCAAGAACCTAGGGGATCTCAAAAGAGAATTAGGCCAGAGGGCAAAGTTAGCAGAGGAAACAGAAGACAGGCACGCCATGCTGGGAGAGAAGATTCTTCTCTCTTTTGGAAGCTGTGAAGAGGAAGTAGTTTTGACTTTATCACGTGAAGATGAAAAATAGCTCTTTTACTTCTGTGTCACCAATTCAAATATAATCTGCTGTGACAATAACTGAACTGTTACCATCTGTACTCAATGCTGCCTGGGAATTGGCATTTGCTTTAAGGGAGATCAGTGCGAACTGCTACTGAAAGAGAAGGTCCCAGTCCCCACCACAAATGTTCCCACCAGCTCCCTTGTGCTGGCACTATAGCTCATGCAGCCATGTGGTGAGCTAGTTTAGGGAACTGATCCAACTGAAAACAGCAAAGAAAAATAAAACAATTAGTTTTCAGCTGAATCTATTTCCTGAGATAATCCTTGAACAGCTGCACACACTCTAGTGCCAGCATTGGCAAAAAAATAGACAACAGGAATAAGCAACCAAGGCGAGGAGACGACTTCCAGTGATCAGACTGAAGTCTCAGTCCAGCCACTGCCTGGACTTCTCCATTAAACTAAAAAGCAATGCTTAACACTGCTACTGTTTCACTGAGGAAAACCTGGGAATCAAAGGAATCAAAGTTGGGTGTCTGGAAATGTTGAATTCCTTGGACAAAATAACGTGAAATTGAATCTTGAATTAGTTGCCAATGTTCTAATCTTGACTGTGTGACCACTTTGCTGCAGATAGGTTTTGTTTGTTTGTTTGTTTTGGGGGGGTGGGTGGGTGAGAGAAAATGTCTCTAAGTAGAATATAAAAGTTGGACTATTTACAGTTGCTGGTAAGCAGACTTGAAGGGACAGATACTAAGCGAGAATCTAGAAAGCTCCCATAACACTGACTACGAATACTAACGATTACACTCTCAAGATTATTTTAATGACTTAAACGGCAAAGAGATGCAAAACACCAAAGCTTTTAGGTTATGCTCTCAACAGCATAGAGAAAAACCATGTTATCTGTGCTCAAAACATCCTGAGCATAAAGTGCTTACTTTAAGCAAATTATACTATATTATATGAATTGTCATGACATTTTTTCATTTAGTAAATGGAATTTCCTACACTGTTATTCACAGGAATTTCTTTATAGTACAATAGGAAATTATTGCCAAATTTGTACCAAATGTTGACTTTTTTTTTTTTTCAACGGAGTACACCCTATATTATATGAACTTCCCTGTTGAGCTGGAATGACATGCTTGCCTTTTCTTCTAAAGGAGTGTCTTCAGGTTCAAGAATTAATTCCCTATATATATGCACTGTTGGCAGCACAAAAGATGGTGTCACCATTTCCACTATGCTATCCCACAAACAGAATCAGATAAGCACTTATCTGTACACAGCCCAACATCAAAAGGCCCTGTGACCACTCAGCTTCTCGGCAGGATTGTTTTTTCTTTAAAATATGCTTTAGGTACTTGTAATTCAAGAGACTATAGACAAAAGTCATAAACATTTGTGCACGGAACGATGTAAATACAGCATGTGTTTCACCGATTTCAAAGCTGACACTGCCCAGCTCCATATTGAAGTGGCCTGTATTATGAGGATAACTGGCAGATACCCCTATCTCACCTCCAGGACTGACTATGCAAAACACTGCTGCCAGCTTTCAGCAGGTGTTTGTGACTAAGGAGGATTCTAACTGCCAATTTCAGAATCCTAAATGGCATGAAATAACCACCTAATTCTTTATGTGTTACAATCTTTCTTCTTAAGAACACAGCATTTCCATATAGAAATGCGAAAAGATGCTCCTGCATTTTTGTGATTGCAACAGTAAACAGCAATCTGGGATGTCCTTCAAAAAAAAATTAATTTTCATGAACTATAAAGACTGCATTTTCTTTTTGACATCTAATGAGATTATTTTTGTGAACTGTCTTAAGATCTTTCTCAACAGAGTACAACTGAATGATGAGCAATTGCAGCCTGTTACTGTAATACTAAGTATTCAGACACTTTTTATGCATTTCTTCTCAATTCTCTTTAAATATACTCCACAATTATATGATTTCTGTACCTTGCAGTGACATGTTAATGTGGAAACATCATGTAATCATGTAAAGCATTATTCAGTGCTTTTTATTACATGGCCAGTGTTTACATGAATTTTCAAATTCAGTGAAGGTGCAGGATCTGAAAGAATAACATTGGCTTTTAGACATTTTAGTTGGATAAGCGTAGTTACCAGCACCAGCAATGTTCTGGGCATGAGAGATATTTTCTGTCTCTCCATTACGCTCCACCATGCCCACAAATTCTTGGGGAGTTATAAGCAAAGGGTTAGTGACACAGCAGCCTGCTGTGTCAGTGATCATTCAGTGATCCATGGATCCATGGATCACTAACATGACATGCCACATCTTTTCTAAAGGACTGTTCCTGGTAAGACGGCTCGATGTCTACTTTACCTATAGGTTTTTGACATGATTGACATACCTACTTTGAAGAAACAGTTATAGTTTATTGTGTTTAATGTATTGCTATACAAGTCCACCCAGACACACATTATTGATGAGAGAAATGACAACTCTCCACAGTGTCAATGCATGCCTGGGGAGCTGTATTCCATAGATTATTGACAAGGTGGCTTTTAAATGATTCCCCTGCTCCAGTTAAATTCCTTCACACTCTTACACACCATAATTCACAGATTATCACTGTAATATTATTGGCAAGAGGGGAAAAATATATATATATATAGAAGCTGTCTTAATAGGAATAACATCAGGCAATTGAAAATTCTTTAGTCCTTGCAGAACTGACACAGTGGACTGTGGACTGCTATGTATGTTCTGTCAACACATAACATTATATAGAAGAACTAGTGAATAATTTAAGGAGCCTCTAACTGCAGAATAGATGAATGCTATAAGTCTAAGCACTAAATATCATTCATACCCTACTTCAAGTACAGGTATATGGGATCTGCCTGATGAATATGCTTATAAAATACAGATTAGCCCCCCTGACAATGTTGTCATTTTACACAGAGAACTTTTATCATGATTTTAACATCATGTGAAACCAACATCAGGCTTGATACTTACTGAAGATGTTGCCAAAGGAACACACAGATGATATTATTACTTATTTTAAGAGTGAGAAAATTGGGAAAATTACCTCATATTCCTGTGAGAACTTCAAATTGTCATTTGCTTTCAATCTTTCAATATGATCGGCAAGTTCCAATATAGGTATTGGGGGGTGACTTGCCATACCTGTTTGAACAAGAAAGAAGAACAGCATTTAAAATAAAGTGATGCCATGACTCTAACATTTAGAAGATGTAGTAGTTAGAATGGCTAGAAATGTGTAAGTAGTAAAGATGTTATATGTGAGAAAAGCAGGCAAATAGTTTGGTTACTCAAAGCAGGACATGCTCTGTATACACGAGCTCTGAAGCCAAATTAAAAGAAGTCACCAAGCATATTCCCAAAGCTAACATTCCTAGTGTAAAGGAGAGAGTTATTGCAATATGAATTCAATGAGGTTAGCTAGGCATGGAAAAATGAGACAGTTAGACCTGATGTTGACCTCTGCTTTGAGTAATGACTCTTAATGTCATTTCAAACTCCTTCTCCTGCACTGTATGAAATGGAAACTGCGTTGAATTAGATGAGGAAAGGTGAGCTGAGAAACAGACACTGAAAGAGCCCTAAAGGGGAAAGAATAGTATTTTGACAGAAAACAAAGTGACTTATGCATAATCAAGAAAAACGAACTTGGAGAATGAAGGTTACCAAGGTAACCGCAGACACCTGAACCTGCAAAGGAAATGGTAAAAAAACAAAGAAACCCCCAAACCAACAGAAAAGTAATATATAAAATAAATTTAAAAAATGAAATGGAAAGATTGAGGATTAATAATAATGTATTAAGGTCCAGAAGACTGACTACACATTCTGACTATCTTAGGAGTACTTTACTAATTTTATGAAATTTTGAAGTGACTGACACTCACATGCAACTGTGGATGACTAGAGTATCATGCACCATTGCTTATAGACAACAGTCACTGAAGACAAGATTGGACATCAGACAATTAGAGCTTCAAAAATGTTTTCACTAGTAGCAGATTGTAGAGGCAGGGGTTGTACTGTTCTGCTGGACACACATATCTGGCTGCCCTGGAACCTTAAAATAAGCTTATTCTAAAACCCCATTTATCAACCCCCAAGAGTACCTACAATCTACTTCAGGTGTAAACATCTTTGTCTACTGATGAAGATACTGAATGAAAAAGAAAAAAAATGGGCATAAGAAATAAATATGAGTAAGAAAGGAAACACTGGTAAGGCAAGGAAAAAGAGAGACATAAAAAGATGTGGGGCCAACTAGCACAGTCTGCCAGCTGAAGATTTGTCAGGCCAAAATTTATGAACTTTTTTTTTTCTCAGTCTATTAATAATCTTCATGAGCCTTCTCTAAGATGCTTACATTCATCTCTCCAAGTTTAATAGTGCCACACCAAAGACAAAAGTGTGTTTTCAATTTTGTGTGGGAAGAAATCAGAGCTGAATAGAAAAGTTAAGCTAGTGAACCCCAAGATCTCTTGAAGCTACAAAAGGAAAACAGTGATGACTCAAGGGGGCTCAAGCTGGAAGCCATGTTGCACAATGCAGGTTGTTTTGTCACCATGAATTTTTAGAGCATGCCTAAGACAATTAACTTATATTTCCTATAACATAGCCAAAATGACCATGTGGTTACAACACAGTCGCACTATAGCATGTCATTTCCTTTAATTTCTTGCTTTCTTTTTTTCTTTTTATTGATACTTCTGGCACCATTTAATATAGTAAAGTACAAAATGATGTCCAGAAGTACTGGCTCTAATTCAGCTCACCCTATATGTATATATTTATGTACTACCTTCATAGCACATCTGTGATGGTGATGGAGACATTATTTAAAGTAGACATAAAGGCAAAGTGACAGTAAACTAAACAAAGCATTATATCCAGATTTAATTAGATATTTCTTAGAAATTTTAAATAAAAAATAGTCTAAATGTAATTTATATCCATCAGTTCTATGTGTCTTCCATTTTCTTAGAAGTTTCATTTAGTAGAACTTGGTTATTTCAGAGTAAGAGTGTTGGTGACAGCCATCTAATAAGCAGATTGATCCAGATCAAGCACCCCCATGGAAAGTATGGAAGTGAAAAGGCACAAGAAAACTCCAGATTTATCCAGAAATGAAGGTGGACTGATGTACATCTAAAACAGTGCTTGAACAGAGAAAAAATTAGAGACAAAGATGTTTAGACCTTTTCGAGCGAATCGTGGGAGAGAGTTATTATCATATAAGGACTGAGTGGTAGTTTGGCTAGAGAGGGAGGACACAGAGCCAATCAGGGAGGCGTAGGGGACTGAATTACTGCTCAAAGCTGTAAAAAGTAAAAGCCAATCGGAAACGGGAAACAAATTAGTAACAGCAGTAGACCATCATAATCAATCAATCTCGTACATACAGGCACTTCAGACATGCACAAAACAGAGCCTGGAAATTCAGCTAAGAAGATGTATAAAGGTCCAATTACCCTACGGTAAGCACAAAGGACATAAAACTGAAGAAGATGAGCCTTGCTCATTACAGGAAGAACCTGACTAATTCACCAGCATCATGAATCCGAATCTCAATAATTAGCTTCCTGATAAGGCTATTTATTTGTTGGAACAGAGGATGAACATCCATTCTTTTTTATTTTTATTTACGTACACTTCTATATGCCACCCTATCTTCTTAAGGGGATATTTTATATTAAAAATTTTGTATGAAATATAACTTGACATAAAACTTTCTTTTTCTTAAAAAAAAATGAACCACTAGCACCTTCTGAAATTGGTAGTTTTTTTACTGTATGTAACTCAATTTCTGCAGGACTCATTTTAGGCACTTACAACTTAACATTTTTTTACTTGTTTCAAATAGTATTTCACATAAAGTGAATTGGTGCCTTTTTATCTTTTAAACAGATATAACATGCTCTACTGAGATAATAAGGCTTTTTTTTTTTAATAGAACCACTGGAAGACTTTTGCTGTGCAATTACTCTAAGGATTCTAGTGTTCTAGCATATAAATATATAACCTTATTCATTCATTTCTATTGATCAGAGGCATCACAACAGAATATGCTATGAATAGACATTTTAAGATCTCATCCACCCTCACAAAAAAGCATGTAAAAGCTTACTGTAAATTGCATGTGAACAGCTCAAGTGGAACTTCACCCCCCCCCAAAATTGACCTTCCCCCAAATAATTGAACATAGGTGTATTTTTGTGGCTATATATAACAAAATACATTTCTTGAGACAACTTCACATCAACCAACGTACGCTATGAAAACACAAAAAATTAAAAACAAAATACAGCTAAGCTAAAACAGACCCCGAGACATGCTAATAAGTTCAAAAGAAACACAATGCCAAATGCATGCTTTCAATGTTTTTCTTAAATAATAAAGAGATAAAAACATATATTAAATGCTTTTAGAAAAATCAATCATGCAAAGCACAGATGAAAATCTATCCACAGTCAGCCTTTATTTCTAGATTTGGCAGAAAATTGCCAAATCTTCTTATGCAGGCTAGTTGTATCCCTGCTACATGAACTAAAAAGGAGCTATATGGTTTAATTACAGTGTAGAAATATCTACTGGTTATTTTGTGGCAAACACAGAACAAAGGACATTGGAAAATTATGTGTGTCACAATTCCAATGCACAGCTGGAGAATACGATCAAAATTTATCAACTTAATTGATCCAGCTGTTAAATTTTTGAAGTGTATTCCCTTACCCACTGACGTAAGTGTACTTGCTGTTAGTATGTTAAATTATGAGTTTGTTTGTGTCTTCTTAGGCTTTCATGTTAAAGGCTTTCCAAAATATCTATGAAGCACACATTTACTTTTAAAGATGGACTTAACGTCTTCCCAATGAATAAAAAAAATATGAATTAGAAATTAAATGGAATGCATAGCTTCTATAATACAGTCCAAACTCTAGATGAACTGAAAATGTAACATACTATCTTCACAGATAATTCATTATGAAATAAGCTGTATTTGAGAATCACATCAAATTAACATTTTATGATTTTAAAGACCCATTTATTACAATACATATTCATTTTTATTTAGTAACACGGTGAAAACAAATCAATCTACATTGATCTAATTCCCTGTATAGAAAAAGTATGAAATAGCAATAGCAGTGCTTTCTCTAATCAGAATAGTAAAAGGAAATACAAATGTAAAATCTGGACATGGAAAAATCTAAAACATAAAATATTACCCTCATGGCAGTAGGAATCTAGCAGCCATTAATATTTATCAAGTGTGCCTTCAGTGTATATTACAACGGAATCAATTGCATTATAAATTTTCTTTCCACAGTTACTGTTAACTCAGACAGTGTTTTTTACTTCTTGCATAAAAAGTAAATTTACAGGATTAGCTATAGGGAGTATGATGCAATAACTAGTCCAAAATAGTTATACATGTGCATATGATATTACAAAATAAAGTCATTCTTTTTCAAGAACTTTCTCCAAAAGTGGGTTAAACACTTTGGAATAAAAGTGAACTTTATTCTACACCAAAGACATTGATTGCTGGATCATGGCAAAATCCAGACTGCAGAGTGAGGCATAAAAACTCCCTACAGTGCTAACCAGGGAACTCTGGTTTCGAGACCCTGCCTCAGAACACCTGTATGTATGTAAAGTCATTGGCTAATATCCTAATGAACAAACAAAAAATCTCCAGACAAAAACATTCTTGCAATGAGCACAAGTATCAACTGTTTCCCAGCTAAGCAGAGTTTGAGTGCCTCTCTCTAGGTTAAACAGCAGCCAAGGAGCATATCTGAGAAAAAGGTGCCCTTTGCACTCCCAAACTGAAATACTACTACAGGTGCTGAAATTCTTCATGTGGTCAAGCTTCAGTTGATTTCTACCACGTAGACAAATCCCATGTTTTCCTTCAATATTACCATTATTCTCATTAAAAAAAAAAATACATACCTACATAAACGAAGGGAAAAACATCTCTGCTAACTGGCAAGGCAGTTGAATAAATCCATACACTACCTTTTCCATTTTTATTTGCAGCTTTTTCCCTTGGAATTCATTTTACTCTATTTCTGCCTTATCTTGGAAATAGGTAGTGTAACTTCATTTGAAACTTACTAAGCATTTCATGAACATTTACTTATTGAACAAAATATTAGAATGTTTAATTCAGAGTTGTAATAATTTTAATTATTTTCTTATCGTTCAAAGCATCTTATTTAATTGGTAAGAGATAATAAGATAATTGTTTAATTGGCATCCAATTACACAAATTACTTATAAGTGTGACACATTTTGTACTTAAATGAATAAAAAAATACGCACTTTTCAGGAATGACTCAGTCTAGATCTTTGCCTGATTGGCAGATTGAAGTCTTTCTCTGAACCTCGAGTCTCTCATAACCCACTCAAACCACTTAACATCAGTTATTTTCCTCTATACAAACCACAGTCTAAAGTGTTTCCGTGTTTTATCAGATCTTTGTGAGTGTTTAATTATTTTCTCTTTCCTTCTCAACCCTTAGCCTCCCAAAAGGCTTACTGACTTAACAATTTGCATGATAGATTAATGAATATAATCTCATATTTTGTAGGAAAACTGTAGAATGGGAAGAAGGCAAATGATCCTCCTGCGGGCACTCCAGCTCGGGAAGAATAACAGGCACATAAATGTAATCCCTTATGCTACAGAGAGATTGGGTATTTTCATTAAACAAAACAAACAAACAAACAAAAAAACCAACAAAAAACACCCCCTGCGCAGCAGTGACCCACTCACTGGCATATGGGCTTATCTAACAAATATACTTTTTTTTTTTTTTTTTTTTGAAAACACATATGGACATGGGTTCTTGTCCTCAGATGTAGAACTGTGGGCTATTCAAAATGTCAAGACAAATGTCAAATACATCTATGGAGTTACTCCATCCAGAGATGAATTTGAAAGCCAGAGATGAATTTGAATCTCCTTGGAAAAGGTAAGATAAAAAACAATTTAGGTAAATAACATGTAAGTGAGGAATGCAGTTCTTATTTACATGGCAAGAAATATGATAGGAAAGTAGGGAATTTAGTATAAAACACTTTTTCCCATAATTTCTTTCAAACAGTTATATATATTTTTATCCAGAATATTTTTACCACAGCAGGAGATTTGTTTTCAAATTATCCTGATAGCTATATCCGATCAGATCCTATTTTAACAATAAGACATTATTTCAGGATTTTTTGGAAAGATGATGTTTGGAAATCCCTTGAGGGATTAAAGTGTATGACAACCTTGCCTTTTATGGGAGTATTTAATTTATCTTTCCTAGTGGAAACTGGCAATTTAATTATATCAATGTATTTTTTTTTTCTCCTCTATTAGTTTAAATTTAGCGTGTTTGTATTATATAAATATATATATGTATATGCTCATATTTATTTATTTATTGGAATCAATACTGTGCCTGGAAAGTATGTGGATACTTTCACAGTCTAAATGAAGATATTACAATAATGATGTTGAATCATCTATTCTAGTGGATTGTACTGACTCTATGTACACTATAAAGGCACGTTCACTGCTCTGTCATATTAAATCATATTTTGGCAAATGTTCAGAATTGGCAGCATCCTACAGAGTTGATAAGGGATATGAGGGATATTGCATACATTTTATCAAAAAATAAACAAAGAAAAACAATGTCCCCTCTCTAAACAAAATAAAAATAACAACACATAACACCAACACCGACTTCTTCCTCCTTCTCTTGGTCCTCTCAACTGCCTGATTTGCCCCAATGGCTGTTTTTTTTTTTTTTTTTATGGTTGTAAACTTTACCACGCTACTGAGAGAAAAGGCACCACAACAAAAACAACAGCTGGTATCCTGAATGTAGAGCCTTTCTGCTCTTCCTCTCGCTGGCTCTGCCTGGAGCGACATTTCATGACGTGTTACCGGATGGAGTTGGATAAACACTCCAGCAGAACCTAAGTGCCTAAGATCAATGCCATTCAATCATCTGATATACAGTGAAGACTCTCAAGACTCTCTGTTGGACTCCTTAAAAGAAATGGTATTTCTAATTCAAGTTAATAAACTGAGTTTCTGCTTCTACTAGTATGGAATTTTCACTGAGGTTAAAATTTCATCCTAAGAACTATTAAACAGCAAGAAAAATCTGCAAGGGTAGGATTTTCTCCCTGATATTTTTTTGTGTGCTGAATAACATAACAGTCTGATCGTAAACTAGCAATCTTAGGTGCTATAAATCATAAATTCTGTTCTGAGCTATATATTTTTTTATAAATTTGTAAATCTTCATTTTACAAAGAAAGGTTTACTTTCAAGGAAGAGATCTCATAATAGAAATAAACTTCAGATACTCTGTTGAACTAGCTTCACAGAAAACTACAGTTTCAGAAACTATAGCACTATAAAGAAATGTACACATCTTGCCAGTTCTCTTCAGATCAATGAGGTAGAATTGCAGCAGTTAAAAATGCCATTTAAATGAAATGTTAGTAAGATTTGACAGATTTTTTTCTTCACACATTTTACTTTTACATGAGACAAACAATAAATGGGTAGGTAAGACTCCATATTTAAACACTCAGTATACAGTTAATGACTTGCTTCAGAACATATTAATCTCTACCAACTGTCAATATTTTTTTTCACATTTGAAACATTTGTAGGTGTACTTCTACCTCTATAGAAACCTTTAAAATTTAGTCATGAAAATTTTTGATACCTTAGGGAACAATTAGTGAACAAGTCTAATTCTATGTTAATGTTCCTGACTTGATCGGAAGCACAATTTTGAATCAAATATTTCTGTCGTTCTCAATTACTGCACTTGGATTCATAGTGTGTAGAGGACTCAGGACATACTGAGGAAATTCTTGGATTTAGATCCAACTAAATGAGAGGATTCACTCCACAAACATACCTAATGAGCTCCAAATACTGAAGAGAATTCAGTCTACCAAAACAGAGTAGAGCAAATCCAAGGTAAATCTCAACCCTTCAGACTTTTCTCCTCCCCTCTGCTTGTGGATGTGGAGGCTACAGCCCCAAACACCTTGCTCTGCAGATCCACTCAGTAGGGGCAATGCCAGCTTAACCCCTCCGTAATATATTGTATGTCATCTTTTTCAGTTAATCTTTCAAAATCTCAGATACTTAATTTCCTGCTTTTACATTGCTGAATTGATTATAATTGTTATTATCATTGTGCTTAGTGTAATATATTTGACAAACACTGTGCTCTGGATAAATTACGAAGATTTGATAACTAATTAGAATCAGATTGGGGCATGGTAATAGATAATGAGTCTACTAGAAAGCATCATGACCAAAATACAGACAACTTTAAAAATAAAATATCCACTCATGCAAACGAATACTATTTTAAATATTTCCCTCCTGCTGTTTTTCTCTCCTGCCGTTTTGTGACTTAACAAATAAAAACAGCAAATTGGAAATAAAATATTCTGCAGGGTGTTTTTTCTACCTTTCAGGATTACTGACATATTAATACATCCTTCGCACCTACTCCACAACCTGATTTCAAAAGGCAAGACCATTTATCTAGCTAGTATTTCTTTCCTGCTTTGTACATTTGCAATGCAGCAAAACTTCTAGTAGTTTTGACAGACTCGCTGATAATACAATAGATTTGAGATAAATTTACTTGCAAAAAAAGAGACATAAATATACAATTAATAAATAAAGGGATATATTTTCCCAATAATATCTTCTAATATTCTTGAGTCTAATCAGAGCACATAAGACATCTGCACATAGCATGCAACTTTTTGGGTACTCTTCTTAAGACCAATAATTTTGCTTCATGTAGGACTTTTTTTTTACAGAAAGAAATTAAGATTTTATCTCCGAAAGAGACTGGGAAAGAAATATGTCTTGTGAAATTTCACAAGCAATCAAAAAACGTTTACTTAAACAATCAAGCTTTCTGCTCTCTAGTAGCACTGATGCTCGCAGGGTGTCATCACATAGCTCTCAGTGAGGTTTACTCTCTCTTACCTGGAGTTTGAAAATTAAGGCGTCGCAGCTCCACTGGGTCTGTGGGATGATGAGAGGGCACCTCCTTGCTGTTGGGTATGCTGCTCTTCCTAGAGTCAGATTCGGCCCTCTTCCTGCATGGGGAAAGTGAATGCATGTAAACATAAAGCTGAGGTCTTGACTATACAAATACAGATACCTGAATTTAATCATTATTATCTAAAAGTGAGATGCTTCTTTCTGAAAGAATATTTGATCCAGTGTAAAAGTAAAATAATTATGCATGCTGAGTAGGGCAAGTACAGTTTGCAGAGGTAGGAGGAATTTAAATATAAAAATGTCAGAGGGAAAATTATTGCATTCTGCAGCAGATTGATCCTCTAGATCATCTTTCCAGGCAGCAGAATAATGAACTGGCACAAGACAAAACATGAAAGTTAAAAAATCTCACACCATCTCTATTCTAAAAGCTATCTAGCTACAGCAATATTAAATGTAGTTACTCAATTCTGCAGGATGTAATTAAAAGATAACATGAAAAGCTGTAATCACTGAATACTTCATATTTTATATACACAACTCTGAACTGCTTTCTAACAAACAACTTACATTCTTTAGATATTTCCAGGATGACAGAGAACAGCAAAGAAGACTGTTTTCCTGATTCCTTTCTAAGAAAAAAGAGTCTGCTGTGCTGTACTTCGTCTCTGAAAGGGGTGTACAACACAGTCTTCATGCACCTGATCACAGCTACATATTTAAGGTTCAGATTTTATCTGAATGCTTTTGAAAAAAAAAAAAAAAAAGCTGCATTTTCTGTGAAAATTCATTTATCTTGCCAAACTGTAAAGAGAGAGGAGTCTATGTCTGTTCTGGTCCTGAGTGTCACGGTTAAACGGACTCCCAATATGTGAGAGTATAATCTTTTCTTTTAAACCACACAGAATATATTACATGGAAAATATCCACAACTCCATATTTTTATGTAGGAATCTAGAAATTTAATTCCTGAATCTCCAGTGGAATCCCTCATCACTCAGTCCTTGAAGTGTCCTAAATGAAAACTCAAAATGCTTGATATTATTCATGTAATATAAAACGAAGATTAAAAAAAAGCTGCAGAGAGCTAGATTTCAGGAAAAAAAAAAGTATATTAAAATCTACTTAAAATATACTTAAGGGTTACCATAGCTAAACCTTTTTTGGGGGCGGAGGGGTGGGCACAGTTTCTATGTTTTGTCTAGTATGCCACTCCTTTTTTTTTCTCTTTTTTCTTTTTCTTTTTCCTGCCCAAGTGACTCATAAGGTAGCTGCACTAAATCGCTTACTGTTCTGCTGGGTTCCTTCTTAAAAATGCTGATTGATTTCCCACTGTTCTTAAACTGCTGAACACCTGTTGGTGTTCAGAGAAAGTTCCATAATGCTGAAGATTTCAAAGACTGTGCACAGAAGCCAAACAACAACAATATGGTTGCAGGAATTTTGATTGTTGCTTGGAAGCTACTGGCTTTGTGGAAAAGAAAAAAAAAAAGGTGTTTTGTTACAAAAAGGTTCCATTTGTTCTCTGGTAAATTGCTAACAATTATATTACCTCCTCCTTAGCGAAGATATACATATTTAGACTTGATTCTTTTTAATTTTTTTTTTAATTATTACAGAAGGGCTCCTTTGCAATGCTTTATTAACTTTGCAGCTGCCACAGCAGCACATTACCCAGCTATTTCCTTTCAAGTAAAGGTATGTAGTGCATCCTTCCATTTTCAGAGTGTATTTTCATCTTTAGTTCTTACTCCTAAAGCTTGGGATGAATGGAGCTGCCTATTTACCTTTTTTCCACAGACAGCATATGTCAGTGGCCTACACAACTCACATTCAATTCATATATTAAATTCATATATTCATATTTATATATTCAATTCAATCCATATATTAAAAGCTCTCAAATCTTTTCTAATTATATACATAAATATTTTGAACATATACTATAGACCAGTATAAGAACTTATTATTCATTATGATACTTAGTATCATTGTGGCTTTTGCAACTTTTCAGTCCACATAAATATCATAATTGTTTCTGATTATGTCAGCGAGCATGCAGGGGACATGTAGAAAAATGCACTAAGGAAAATAAGTCTCCCTAAAATGTATCTATCTCATGAAATCACAAAAATCAAACCAAACTAAACCAAACCACCACTACCACTACCAAAACAACAAACAAAAAACACTGAAACTTGACTGTATATGCTGCATTACTTTCATCCTTATAAACAACATAAAATATCTGAAACAAATACTTGGAGTTACCAACTTTGCTGCCTACATTCATTTAGATTGACAGACATACTATTTTAGATTATTATCATGATAAATGTCTTTTTTTTTCTCTCTTTCTCCTTTCCTGAAATAAATGGAAGGTGAATGCTTTTCACTTCTCACCTGTCAGGTTTACTGCTCCATTTTAATGCAGCAAAAAAGGGAAAAAAGGTTAAATGTTAGTTGATCAGCAGCAAAAAGAGTAACCATGACAACAGAGGATGCAAGAAATGTTGTCCTACAGTGAAGATATGTAAGTAACAAAAATTAGGAAATGATAGTTCATCAAAACATTTAATGTTTTGACATCATAGAGTAAATGGGGGACACAAGGTTAAGTTCAAAGAGAAGCTTCTGCTGCTGAAGAAAACATTTCTATGATAATCTCCTATACTTTTTGATAATGTCCACAAAATAATCACCTCATATTTTAACCAGTAAAATAATGGAGAATGTATCTATCTATCTATCTAAGTTAGCATGCCATCGGTAATACCGCTTTCAGAGGTGTAATGAAATCTTTAAAGATTTTTTAGAGAGAAGAAATTTCTAGAGAGACGGGGACAGAGATTAGGGAGAAAGGGAACAATAAACACATGAGCTAGTCTTGACCCAAATTAAAGAAAAACAAAAGCAGACATCAGACATCTATTTTATAAAAACTGGTAATAAAATGGCCAAAATTTTTAAAGGTGCCACGACAAGTAAGGTTATCATGAATCTTTCTCCAATTATCTGTTAAATCCCTGTTTAGTGCTAGAAGGAGCACTTGCCAGAGATCTACCTATGTAGATATATATCTATACAGATAGATTTATATATCTGTGATCTAGACAGATATGCTGAACAGAGAAAATATGTTATTAGCACACAAGTTCTACTATGCACAGAACTATAAATACAGAACTTTGCCCGTATATCTTTCTATTGACAATAATAACAAGAGTTGTTATCAGGGTGTTTTTTTTTTCTTTTTTTTCTTTTTTTAACCAGAAGTATAAACAGATCATATTACTCACATGCAGTGTTAAAGAGGCCTTCACCGTCACATTCCCCCATCTTGATTTTTTTTTAAATATATCTCTCCTTTAGAAGTATTTTGTTTTTATGATAGCCCAAAATCTAGGGCCTTTACTCAGGTCCTCTCAAAGTTCCATACATTTAAAAGATTCTAGCTAAGGTTCTTCTCCTCTGAACCAAATCAAAAAGCTGCACTTCATATAAACAACTAAGATAAAAAAATGTCAAAAGAACTATGATTTCTTTTTCCTAAGAATGGAAGAATCCTGCACAAACGTTGACTCAAGAAAAACTTGAGCAAAATTTCATCCTACAACAGTGATGAAGAATAGCAGCAAGAATTCAGAAGCTGGTTAATTTGTTCCTTTGCATTTATATGCTTCAGATATATATGGTTTCTTTATAGCTTGTCAGGTTCCGAAATACACTGAACTTTTTTGATCTCTGTAACATTCATTAATTGGTTTACCATCTAAACCATCTAAATCCAGCTTAACTGACCATACACAATACATTCAAAAGTGAGTCAAGGATTTACTGCGGGTTTGGCTAAGTCATAGGGTGCAGAAGGGTTTACTGCTTTATCAAAAACAGCCTGGGATATAAACTGTGACTCAGACTAACAGTCATGGTAATAGTTAGGTTTTGCCTCTAAGGGACACTCAGTCTGCACCAGCTCTATATCTAGATAAGTGTTCGCCTTTGTTTGAGATTTTGGATATAAATTTTACTACCTTCTGTATTTTAGTCCATGCTTGAACTAGGAAAAATTATACTTTCTCGAAGGCAAAAATATGACCAAAATGAAAGTGAAAAGGAAGTTGCATTTAATTAATTTACTTGTATCACTGAATTTGAAGGTGTAGGTTTTTGTCTAGCAGGTTAAAGATTCTGTACTCTCCACTCCACAATCATTATCTCCCTTTGTTAGTACTGCAGAATGGTATCATGGCTCCTTTGAAGGAACATATAGAACTCCTAAATAGTCAAGCAAGTAAAGTTTTACTTCTGAAAAAAAAAAAGTGTGTTTACTAATTTATTTACTATTTTACTTATTTATTTTGTAAGAGCAGTCGAACACTGGAATGGGTTTCCTGGAGAAATTGTGCAGTCTCCATCCTTGGACACCCTTCCACCCTGACTGGATGGGTCCTGGACAATCTGCTTGGAGCTGGGGGTTGTACCAGGTCTCCAAAGGTGCCTGCCAAGCTCTGTTACTCTGTGATTACGCAGTCCTGCCAACTCTTCCTCACTCAGCACATTGTCTCAGTTACATAGGACACTATGTTGCTGCCATATCCAAAGACAACAAAAGGTGCTGCTCAATGTTTTTTCACCTATTCAGTTAAATATTAAACTGAGATGACTTTTTAACTATGTTCAGATATATGATGCAAAAATGTTTCTATGGAATAGCTTTGACTTTAGGAAAAGTGAATGCTGTAGCAACCACTTTCGTGCATTCCATTAACAACTATTCTAACTATCTGGGTACAAAGTGACCAATAAAAAACAAAGGGGTCAAACATGCACTGCTAGTCTTCAGGCAACTTATGTGATACTCAGTGACCCAGATGATAACTTATCCATACTATCTGATAGCATCTGATGTTTTATATCAGAGCCAGGCTTCTCCTCTTGAGAAGACTCCTTTATAAATTGCAGTCATTCTTTCTCTATGACTGAAATTAAAATGAAAAATTATTATTGTAAATCTTGGATTTAGCAGCCCATGTCTGTTCATGGGGACTTCTACAGACAAGGGGAAATTAAGCACAGCTCACCATTATCTGAGTTACTGTACCCTTTACACTTGAAAAGACAGCCGCCTTCTTTCCACGCCAAATCTCCCATTCTCAATATATCAAATTCTAGTTATTAGCCTGAATATTTATTGCCTATACTTTCTAGGAACTCTTGAAAAAAAAAAAGGCCAAATTGTACAGAGATATGTTCTGTTTCTTAAAGTACAGGATATCTATCTATCTATTTATATATTTATAAAACATCCGGGCTGTGCAAAAATATTGCTATAAACTTACATCTGCACATGTAAATGTTTAAAAACATGTTCACATGTTTTTGTCAAACTGCTGTTTTTCCTCTTCACAGTTGATTTCTTTGCAGAAAGTGCAAAATGTGTTGATTTTTTTAAAAGCATGGAAAGCACGGAAAACATGTTGATTATTGTCTTATTAAGAGCTTATAGTTTAAAAAGGTGGATTTTATTTTCTTAAAGAAACCATCAGTTTTGTTTACTTCAATGTTGTTTTCAACACTGTCATTTAATACTTCTATTATGTTAACACAGTAGAAAGACAAAATTTTAGCTTCAAAATATTTCTTCATTAATTTAGTGAAGAAATCCAATGTTATGACTATTTTGTCCTTTTCCAGTTGTAAACTTCTGGGCATGAATATAATCTCTTAACCAACTTACTTTTGTTTCCACTGAATAGCATTCTGCCTTGACCCATTTTTCTGTATCAGTCTTCCTGTCTCCCTGCTAAAGACTAAAATGAACTATAAAGATATATTTGCAAAATCTAAATTCTTATATTTACTTTATCTGTTTCTTCAGCCTAATAAGACAATTCAGATTTATTAACATGCTACTGTGTAATCACTATATATTGCTTCTGGATTTGATGGCATGCAGTCAGATTGCTATAATTAATTAAATTATGTAATGGACTGAGATCTTACAGTAGGGCCCTAAAAATCTAACACATTTTCTTCTGAATTTCTTCTGTGAATTTATAAATGCTTAAGCATTTATACTTAAGCAATGACTTAAGCAAGTAATTATAAATTACTCCTCATAATAATACATGGAAAATTGTCTCTCAGAAGTAGAAAACCAGGAATGAAAGTTGCTTTTAGTTTATTCTTTCTTAACCTTCTCCACCATTTTTAAAATCTTACTTTCTGACAGGTCTTTTCTGTACAGATTTCTTGTGACATAAGTAGAAGCATTATTTTTTAGCCATGTGGGTATAATATTTTTGTGGATATAATATCTGAAGCTTGACTAATACTAATATAGATTGTGCCATTACATATACAAAGTAAGTTATTCTAGTACAAGTCAGGATGATCATCCTTTGGTAGAACTGCAATCATTTCTCAGACAGAATTTGTTAAAATGATGCAGTTTAACAACATTTGTATCTTGAAACAAAATAAAATAAATCCAGATCCCCACTTCTCCAAATATCTCTGCTACTACTAGTAAACAACAGATGGAAAATGTGTCCCCCAATTTCTTTGTATGAAATTCTTTTGACCGTGCTACTGATGAGCAAGTTTTACCTGCTCATTTGTTCAATATGTCTATAGTTCTTTTTTTTTGTTGTTAATAGAATGTGAAGGTTGTAATTATGTATTATGGCCCATAAACGCAAACAAGCACAGAGGCAGTTGCACATCTGCTTTATATGCCATTGTTAGGATTTGTTTTGTAATAAGGGAGAAATTAGACTTTTAATAGTGCAAAATAGTCAGAGGAGAGGAGTACTTCACTTTCAGTGTATCTCTAACAGCCTGTCTTTGAAGTGACAGACAGGCACAAACAGAGGTTCACTGGTATTAATCCCTAAGACAGTAGGTACTAATGGAAGCCTTCAGGAGGCATCACACCTGCAAGTGACAGACCATATACTATGCTGCAGTGTCATTATGACTCTAAAGAACATCATTATAAGTATCTGTTTGAAATCCAGAGCTCAGGTTACCTCCAGACTGATTCTTTTTTTAAAATGATGAAGAGAGAATTATTTTCTCTTCTTGAAACCTGAAGCCTGTTGGCATGCAACTTCAGGTGTTTTTGACTATGTACACTTACAGTAGTAAAGAAAATGTAAGATAATGACTAGCAGGATTTAAACACTTCACAGCAGGTAAGAAAATTATAGCCATTAGTTTTAGGCTCAATTTAATGAAATTATCTTTCTCAAGGCTTTTCATGTTCATAGTGTTCTCTAATTATGCTTTATAAATAAGTTTTCCAGAAGTGCCTTGAAGAAAAAAATCATTAAAATGATCTTTATTTTTCTTAGTACCATGCTTTTGATTCAGTGTCTTGGCCCTCATGTACTCATTTACATTGTAAAAAGCTGCCATGTACAAGTTAAGGCCTTATACACAGTTTTCATCCAGTAAGTTGTAAGGCACAGGAAAGTCCTCTGTGTAATAGAAAACCTACATATGAATCATGGACAGTGAATGAAGAGTAAGTCGAGTTTGATCTGATTTGAAGATCAGTAGAAAATAGCTATTGATCTCACAATTCAGAGCTTCAAATTCATATAGATATGTTGCCAAATTGAGGCCAACTGTCAAAAGTAAAAGCTCAGATTATTTGAGTGGAGATGAAAGTCATGTTTAACATCAAGCTGAATGTAATTCCTAATGTATTACTACTACAGTTCTAAAAATAAGATTCAAAAACTGAAATGTGCTCATTTTGTATATATTTATATGCAAGCACATTTTATTCACAAACATATTTAAAGTAGAAAAATATTTAAATGCAGAAATGTTAACACAATGTCATCAGCAGAAAAATAAACCCATATGACTATAATTTTGGAAACTTTACTTTCAGACAGAAATCTAATAAAATATCTGCAGTGTTATGGAAACCATTAATACATAGATGCATCTCACATCCCAGAAGATGACAATTACTATTTTAGCACAGATTAGTTAGTGTGGAACAATATCAAAAATGACCAATACATCAGAAAGCTACATACACTGTAAAAGAACTAAACGGTAAATTTACTTACCTTTTATAAAGAAGTATGGCAATAACAATACAGATGATAAACACTACTGCAAGAACTGGTCCTACAACCCAAATCAAGCCTTCTTCCTCATCTGTAATTGGCTGAGGATCAAGATCCATTGACACAACAGGATCAGAATACGGGCTGGTTGCATACATAGTCTATACAAACAAAATAAATATTACTTAATGATAAAGAAGTATTTAAAATAATGAATAGTCTAGATCTAAAATACATCTGTACAAAATAATGATACAAAGAACACATTAATGAAACAAAAGGCAGACTGAAAGTTTTGCTGTTATTTCCGCCTTTATTTTGTGACACAGTCCTCTTTGGAACACTTAGTAACTGAAAAAGGGAGTATAAGAATAAAGTGTTATAGAATTCAAGGCCTATAATCCAGAAATTGCTCAGTATGGAGTTTTGTTTTGTTTTGTATTTTATTTCATATTGGTTCAATGGTGCTAAACTTGTGCTTGCAAAATATATGGAAGAATAGCTATGAAAAAATGAAAAAACTATAGAGTAAAAATGAAGTGGACTATATACAAGAGGTTCCTGGAAAAGAGCCCCATGTCAAGAGTGGGATGCAATTTGGCTAGAGTCAAAGGGACTGTAAGAAAGAAAATGCTCTCACTAAAGATGGAGACTTCTTGAATTTAAGACAGAAAAACAGGGAAAGCCACTGAAGATTCTGAAGGGAATGTAAACACTGCAAGTCTCTAAATACTCAGACCTGGCATTAGAATTAGGAACTAAGTGGAGCGGTCAAAAATCTTTTATGGTACCAGTTTGTGTGAAGCCAGCTGGCCTAAAATAACAGCTGTGTTAAAAAAAGAAAATGCTAACTTGTTTTTATCCTCCTCTGACCAGAGATGCGTGATCTGAGGCTGAGTGTGGAGCTAAAATTACAGACAGGTGGGCAGAGCAGCCAGCTCTCTAAAACAAGACGATGTAAAGATTTCTGAGCTATGATAAAGTCAGAACCAGAGGATGGCTTGTCATTATTTCTGGTCTTTGCTGGGATATCTCTGCCTGTGGTAAACTAGGAAGAGAGCTACGGTTCTGGCAGAGACTGGAAAACTTGATTTGAAACTGGTTCAGGAATGCTGAGACAAGATAATGAGGAAAGAGGTACGAGTTCTAAGGTAAGAATGACAAAATGCAATGGGGCAGAGGAGACATGCTTAGACTGTCTTCTGAAACGTGCCATGAGTATGTCACATGACAAGTGACATCAAAGAGAAAATATTTTACACCTTATTTGTCCTGTTTGTCCTCTTTTTGGATACTGGGTTAGGACAGAACCAGGATTTAGAGTAGGAGATAGGACAGAAAAAGATGAGGCACTGACACTAACTGGTATTAAGCTAAAACCTGTGATGACCTGTGATAACCTTTCCTTATTTATATTATCAGCCAAACATCTAATAATCTGTGATAACTGTTTATAAATTGGGGAATCTCCACGTTGATTCCCCGAATCATCAAATTTTACTGAGTTATTTCTCAGCTCCAGTGATCTTGCAAAGATGGAAGAAACAGGCCTATATAAGAAACATGGCTTTGTACTCAGCTTCTTCCTTTGGAGCAGGCAGACCTTGAACAACAAGAAGAAAAATCCCTTGCAAGTTACAATTCCCCAAAATTTTCAGCTCCTACTGTCCCTTCACATCCATCTGCCCTCTGCCCCCTCAAAAAAGACTATATTCAGAGCAGTTAAATAAATGGAAGTTAACTTTTATGAACTCATGCTCTCTGTGGCAATTTCACACTAGTCATCACACAAATCTTACAGATGTTAGGCTAAATCAGATGTTTCCCCTGTGGTAAATTTACCAATGCCTTTGAAGAACTGTAAAAATAGTAGGCCTTTGGATATAGCATTTAAGCTGTAAATTCGCAACCCTACTTATTCCTGCTTTTCTACCCTCCATCTCTTTAAAAATGCAATAATCTCTAAATGATCTGAAGGAACGATGCCTTAATTAATATTTAATATTAAATAAGAAACATTATTTTATATTGAAAAGAAAAAAAAAAAAAAAACTAATATAGGTGTTCCTCACATGAATATTTGGACCTCCAGCTTTATAGCAAAAAATCTGTCCAGTATCTCTGTTTTGAAACTTTATGATGCAGCCCTCAGAATGGTTTCTCTTTGTGGCCATTGTCAAAAAGTAAAAGGGAAATTCTGATCTATATTGTGGCTTGAATTCAGATTATTGGTGTAGTAATTTCCTTGAGAAGCTCTGTGTGATGGCTTTTCACAAAAAGAGAAGGCAACCCAATTTTTTTATATGTGGTCGCTGACTGTGTGCCTTTTTTTCCTAGGTGCTCAATGAGAAACACAACTTAAAGATTAGCCGAACATTTCCCATTGCTAATGTGCTGAAATCAATGAAGCTGTACTTTAAACAATAAGAATGACACAGAAATGTTAAATGGACTGGAGGGAAAGAAAATACATAAGCTTTTCATGTTAGTGCAACTGAATTATGAATAAGGTTATCGCACTATCATATCACTGGAACTCTTTATTCCTCAATTATTTTTAGAGATGGGTAAGGAGCATTTCATTTTAGCATTCTCCACCATCTCTCAGTTACAGTTAAAAATAGGGAATCATAGAATCATAGAATGCTTAAGGTTGGAAGGGACAACTGGGTGGTGAAAAACCTCATGCAATTCAACAAGGCCAAGCGCAAGGTCTCCAGCAGGTCGAGGGAGGTGATCCTGCCCCTCTACTCAGCCCTGGTGAGGCCGCATCTGGAGTATTGTGTCCAGTTCTGGGCTCCACAGTACAAGAGGGATGTGGAGCTTCCGGAGAGAGTCCAGCACAGGGCTACAAGGATGATCAGGGGCCTGGAACATCTGCCCTATGAGGAGAGACTGAGGGAGCTGGAGAGCACTGGAACAGGCTGCCCAGAGAGGTTGTGGAGTCTCCTTCTCTGGAGATCTTCAAAACCCGCTTGGATGCCACCCTGTGTCACGTGCTCTAGGTGACCCTGCGTGTGCAGGGGGGTTGGACTAGATGACCTCTAGAGGTCCCTTAAGCATTCTGTGACCCTGTGATTCTTATTTCAAGTGGCTGACCCAGCAAATTTAGCTGTCGGTTTAGGAACCAATTAGAAAAGTATTGTGTGACACATTGCATGTTAAAATGTTAGTGTGTATTGTAACTTCAACAGTCTTGTTTCTGCCTCTGTTTAATTACTATTTTTTTAGTAATATCACACACAGCTAGATTAGCATAACTTTGGAATAAAGGACACAGGAATAAAATGAACTATATAAAGAGAAATTACAGCTCATTATTTAGCTCACCTCAGAAATTCTCTATATTATTGAATCATTTTTTAGTTTTCTAACAATTCACTGATAAAGCGGAGAGGAAATTACTATCATTCCAGAAGCTTGCTGTGTATATCTCTGATTCAACAGATCTTTCTAAGAATTTCTGGTAACTAGCACTGCTATTCAATGGTTGTCCACAGGCAGAAGAGGACCTCTTCTGTTAAAGACTTTGGGGAAGATGCTGCTGTGAAGTTCTTGCCTCAGTAACTGTGTCAATGATCTCAAATAACAGAAACTGTAATTTACAAAGGATCAGAACAGACCTCACAAAAGGTGATCCTTAGTGTTCTATTATACACATAGGCAACAAATACAGATGCAAACAGAAAAAGGTAATTTCAAGAAATTACCCAGAAATAGGTGACTTTTGAGATGCTCTGGCATGTGCTGTAGAGATTTGGTTTTTGGGAAGTGGAATAAGCATTGAAAAAATGTTTTGATGATTATGGAAAGGTAAATATGAGATTAAGAAAGGGTGTATAACTTACAGATTCCGAGTGCTCCATTACAGCCAACACAAAGAAGACATATTCTTGACCACTCTGGAGTTGCTTATTCTCAAAGCCACCATAATGCTTTTTATCCCCCAGCGTGAACTCGGTAGGAAGAACGTCAAAGTGAGCTGCAATATATGGCTTTAATTCAACTTCTCTCCCAAGACGAATGCTTCTGCGTTTCCTAGATATCTCCTTAAGCAGCTTTATAAAGAGGGGAGAGGAAAGAGAGAGAGAAATCAAAACCATAAAGATTAAAGCAACTTATTGACAGTGGAATGAGAAAATTTAATTCATCACCAGGAACTAAAAAATATGGGACTACATCAGTTCTTGCGAAATCTTCCTATTTCTTGCCACTCATGTTAAGATAAAATACTAGGTTGCAAGTGCACTACAAGCACAGGTCAATTAGATCAATATTTGGTGCCTGATACTGTTGTCTTTGCAAATAAAAATTAAAAACCAATAAAGTAATATACCTTTTCTGTGTAAAATAAGTGAGTCACTGATAGTATTTTTTTCTTTCTCTGTGCCTATGCCGGAATTTCTTATCTACAGCTTAGTATAACAGAACTGATTAAAGGAAATGATATATTTAAATGTGCGAACATATAGCAAAATTTGGAAAAACACAAATCCCAAATTGTGAATTTTAACATTTTTTTGCCCTGAGAATTCTGAAATACAAACTCATTATTAACTAGTTTGGAGAAAATTATAAACAAATATAGACAACAACTTTTTTAAGAATGGTAATGTTTTTGCATTTCCAAAACAAATCTCATGAAGATTATTTGTAAATATTAAATTCCTCAAAGTTGAAAGAAAATTATTTTTGTTTTTTAACTTATTTCACAAAAGTGAATGGAAGCACAGAAGAGATTATGGGAATGATTTATAAGCATATCTTCCTATGAAGAAATTCACAATAATTGTATTTGCTCAGAAGCACCAAAATCTGATGCTTCATAATTTGTTCAACACTATATAACTGTTCAGTGACAAGAATAAACAGAGGACTCCATGAATTGTAATACCATTATTTTCCTGTTGCTATACTAAAAAATAACTACGTGATATACATAACCTACATGAACATTCCAGATTTAAGTTGCATAATATGTCTCAAAATATAAGTTTTCCTCATGTCATTAAATATTTTTACTGATGAACAAATAAATCTTGTATCGGCACATCTGTAACAAGATTAAATCAAACTTGTAAAACACATTTTAAATAATGAAGGAAATAAAGCTTTGCTGATGAAATGTAAACTGATGAATTACTAATCAAAGCAGACAAATACCTATTCAATACCTTTTATGACTTTAGATATAGTGGCGTTCAACAAATATTAATTTGAATGTTTACAAGGAGTCTGAAGTTTTTCTAGGTGGTAAGTGTTGTCTTCTAAGTCTGACCCACTATTCTCTTGTTTTTCACTTATGAAACTTACTCAATGTTTTGTTTTAATGCCAAAGAAATAGACTCATACTGCAACCACAATTTTTTTCCAAGGTCACAGAGTTGTTTTAAGCATTGCAGTACACAAGCAGTGCTAAAACAATGGATAAACACATTTATTTTTATGAGTAGGAGGCAAGTCTCCAGAGCCAGATACACATCAATAAAAAAAGAGGTTAAAATTCAATTTCTACTATACATTTTAACAAATATGCTTATTCAGGGAAGTCTCAGCCCTTCTCCAGTGTTACATTCCAGTTTAGCTAGCCTTCCTAATGTGGGATCTTTTATTTTGCAATAATACAGTTAACAATTCCGAAGCACACTAGACAATCTACTATTCCTTGTTCTATGGACACGGAAGCTTTTAACAGTGATCACTAACGCACTTTCTCATTACAATGCATATTTCAGACTTGGGCTAGAAGTAGACAACTAAGTTCCCCCAGCAGTGCAGGGTGTTTGGAAGCTGTCCCACCACTGACCCATGCAGTTGGATGCTTTCTAGTCATAACAACATGCCCCAGGCAGGCAGTTCTCTGCCACAGGGGTTTTATGCTCATTTATCTCTATTCATTTCTACCAATTTTCATGCTCCAGTATAAAAACTGGTAGGCTGGAATACATATCGAGATTAAAAACAAAACAAAACAAAAAAAAAAAAAAAGTGCTTTCCAAAACTTCAGACTCAAAACTGCCATTAAAGACCGCTATTACAATCAGCCGTCCATATTTCTTCTTCACTCTTTTTAAACCTTCTGTTGAGGTAAAAGGAGGCTTGGGGAGTTCATTTTTACAAGGTAGCATCTGTTAGTGGAGTAATGGAGCAGCAGACTGTCAAGTATACAGATTGAATTAGTAACAAAAATGTACGCATGTTAGCACATGGAAATGCAAAAGTCCTCTAGTACTTCGCGAGAAGTGTTTAGAAGCTGTCCTTTTGGCAGTCAGTGCTAAAAGTCAACTAGTCTGAGTTAGTCAAAATGTGTACAACAGGCAACTTTTTCAAACATTGTGGCTGGGCACCTAGGACCAGCCACACTTTGGCATATTTTTCTGTGTATAGATGAAAATCTGGTCTGTGACCAAACTTATCTGTGACAAATTACACATGACTGGACCTCAAGTGAACCTCTGGCTTCATTCATATTTCACATACAGATGATGTGGTTGCCAGATATCGTTACCTTCACATGTATGCCTAGTACATTATGCCAGGACTTCACTTACATTTTTAAATGTAAAGACTTTACACTCAGGCTATCATTTAGGTTCTATTGATTATAGATTCCTATTAATACTGTAAATCATAATATTTTATTTTGTATCTAACCGTATGGCATATTTGATTGGCATCATTAAGCCTCAGAATGAAAATAAAGTGAAATATTGACTTGATATACAAAAGGATTGTGTCTCTAATATCAAGTCCATTATACGCTCTTTTAAGATTTTGTATCTCTCAGCTTCTTTCAGAACTAAGGATTCAAGGAACCAGGAAAAAGCAGTAGCCGCAATTAGACCAGACAGTCCTTTTGACTTGTCATTTATGGACTTATCACTCCACAATTGTGTTTTCAGCAAAGAGTATTCCTCAGGCTATCTAAGCAAAGCATTTGGAAAAGGCTGTCTTATAAAATCCCATGTGATACTAGCCAGACATCTAAGGCTGTACCAAAAGAAGATATGAGCTGAAGTTTCTTTAGTTTATCATCATAAACTATTTGTTTAAGCAGTTGTATGGTTGGCTTTTGTATTTTTTTCCATTTTTTTTTATTGCTTTCACGTGTTTGACAGGTAAAGTACATCTAATAACAATATGCAGTTCTTATTTTCTAAAACAGGAAGAAAAAACCATCTTTTAAGCACAAGAAACTGGACAAGTGAGCATGAAGTACAGTCACTGCCTGCTTCTGATTTTTTCCACCTTCTCAGTAGTTACTACATTTATTGGTGACAACTGTAAAAAGATGTATCAAGGGCTTAGTTCTTTATCAGAAATAATTTTCATTTTCCAGTCAATGCATATCTTATTTCTTCCACCATTAATTCTACAATGTGGTCTCAATTATATGAATAAAAGTGGGAAACAACCCATCCTGACCCAAATATTTCTGAATTAATAAATGTTCTTTATCAAACTATTATACAGATTAATGCACCACAACTTGCAGGATGATTAAAATGACCCTTTGTTATGGGAATCAGTAGCACAGACCCGTAAAATTTAATTGCAAAAAAGTTCAATGTCATCTGGCACCTATCCTTTAATACAGGTTTTGCCTGTAGTTTCTGGAGGTTAAAAGTGGGTGGTAATAGTAAATCAGTTTTCCATTACCGTATGGATCTTGTCAGGAGAATTTTACTGTATAACTGTATTTGATGCTGCTTAGGACTACGATCATGTGCTGGTGCATGCCATTTACAATCCAGCTCTTCTAAAGTAAAGAGGTTAATAGATCAAAACAAGGGGTCACTGCATTTCAGTCAATGTGATGGCCGCAGAAAGCAAATCGGCCAAGAGTAAATACAGGCTTCAATCAGTCACATAAAAGTAAGGAAAATGTCCTCAGCTTTGTGCATTTCTGTGTTTGCATCTAATTAAGGGTTCTCTTTGGGTGGTAGGTTTTCCTTTTTGTCTTTTCTCACCAGAAACTGCAGACTGCCGCGTTTATTTAACAGGGTTACTAAAGGAACTTTGTTTTGAAAGCTTTCCATAGCAAGCTTGGTTTGCGGAAGATCTTCCTTTCCTTCACATTTTGGTACAAATGTGGGACATAATACTCATTTGATAAATGGGAGAAGGGAAGAGAATAAGGTGATTGCTTGCAGAATTATTATGACTTACAGGGCAAGCAGCGGCATTTCTGTAACAGATTCCTGAATCAACCAAAGAAATTAGAAAAATAGACACAGTCCATAAAAATATCATTAAATTAGGAGGAAAGAAATTGCTTTGATCTCTGGTTTTGATTTGCCATGAATTATAGAGACATATGCACAAAATCCCAAGGCATCTGAAAGAGAACTATAATCCTAGCCTCACAATACTAATAATTATTTGTGTTTATTATAATAATATATAAACCCTATTCTTCTGTAGAGCTTTCAAATAAGACTCTCAAAGAGCTACAAAGATGAATCTTAATATTATCGCAGATCTACAGGTTGAAGGAAAGACAAATTAGACTCTGTTATATTATCCTTTAGAATAAAAAAAAAAAACAAGAACAGAGCGAATGCTGACAGACTTCATAGAATTATCATATCAACAGCATAATAAATCGATTTCTACTATTATTGGGTTGGTCCCTGAAATGGAGATAATTTGCTCTTTGGGAAATGTTATTTACAGTGTCAAAACAGAATCATGGAATGGTTGAGATTAGAAGAGATCACTGGAGATCCTGTTGCCCAAGCCTGCCTCCTCAAGGAGGATCACCCTGGGAAGCTTGCACAAGACCCTGTCCAGATGTTTTTTGAATACCTCCAAGGATGGAGAGTCCACGTGTTCCCATGCTCAGTAACCCTCACAGTAAAGATGATTTTCCTCTTTTTCAGATGGACCTTCCAATGTTTCAGTTTGTGCCACTGCTTCTTGCCCACTGCTGGCACCAGTGAAAACAGTCTCGTCCCATCCCTTGAGCAATTTAAGTGCACTGAAAAGATACCCCATCAGTCTTTTATTCTCCAGGCTGAACAGACCTATCATTCTCATGTTCTCCACGTAAGAGAGATGGTACAGTCCTTTCATCATTTTAGTGACCCTTCTCTGGGTCACTTCCAGTAGCTCCATGTCCCTCTTTACGGGGAAGCCCAGCACTAGACACAGCACTGCAGACGTGGTCTCAGGCCAGAGCAGAGGGGGAGGATCACCTCCCTCCACCTTCTTTTGGCCTTCTTGGTGACAAGGGCACATTGCTGGCTCATGGTCAGCTTGTCCACCAGGACCCCCAGGTCCCTTTCCACAGAGTTACTTTACAGCAGATCAGCCCCCAAACTAATGATTGGTCTTTCCTATTGCATTCATTTATTTCTGAAAAACATCTGCCAGGAATGGAGAACAGCGTAAAAATTCTCTCAGCAGCATTACAATACGTGAGGATCAGGTAAAGATACTATGAGGAAGGTCAAATGTTAAACTGCAGTGCAAATTGCAATTTCGCATTTGTTTCAGGCTTAACAAACACCCCAGTAATGAACCAGACCTTTATTAGAGTTCATATCATTGGTGATTAAGCTTTTGCTGACAACTAATTTCACCTTCTGCACTTTTGCATTACATTTTACAATAGGCAAAGAATGAAATATTAATGCCAACAAAGATCACGCATTTTGTGTGCTTTATTGCAACTTAATGTCTTTAATGTATATTAATTTAAGTAATTTGAACTTTGTTTCAGCCCCCCACAGGCTAATTCAAATATAAATATAAAATATCCAGACAACCAAAAATTCCAAAACTGGTGGGTTAATCACATACCACTAAGAAGTTCATTTCTGTAATAAAGGAGAAGAAGAAAACCAAAAATAAACCATACCTCATCTAATTCCATTTCATCTGGGCTTTCCCATGGTTTGATAAACTTTCCGCGAGACCTCTTCAAAGGCACAATAACAATGTAATAACCCCTGTGAGGAAAACAGTAGGACAAGAGGGAAGTTAAAAGAAAGGAAATTGGTAAATTGATGGAATAGGTACCTATTTACAGGACCATTTTTGATAGATAGAATACAGCATATGTTGAAGGGAAACTTTTTTTACAGCAGACTTCCAAAGTGTAGTCAAAAAGGTTCACAGTCTTAGAAAATAAATAAATACATCTAAAGTATTGACAAAGCTATTTGACAAACAAATAGCATTAATTACCTGCTTTCCATGTAAACATATAAATATGTATACAGAAGTTTAATTACAATGTTCTGAAATGCCTGCGTGGTTGACTGCAGTTTATTTTCTCATTTGAAATATAAAAGTCATGGGGCACTTGTGCCCTGCCATCATCTAATTGGAAAAAAACACTCGGAAAACTCCAAAACCTGAAATATATTATGTTTTTTTTTTAAAAAAAGCTCAATTATCACCCCATCTGCCTCCATTTTCATGTATAATCAGAATGGTAGGTCAAAATAATGTGTTTGTTGATGTTCCTATTATAAACAGATAATAAGGAGACATACTGTACTATCCACCTATACATGACAATGCTGTCAGCATCAATCCCCATCAGCGAAACCAGTTCTTTTTCTGCTTAACTTTTCTGATCACAGTAACAGACGAGAGCTTGCTCTATGCAGAGTTAGGATCTGAAAATTACATATACCCTGAGTTATTCTCTCATGCAGTTTTTTAAAAATATCTTCCTACTCCCTCCCATGAGGAAGAGTAAGTTATACTTCCCAGTATAGTAGAGATATGGCTTCTCATGGCTTAAGAACTATTTTCCTCATTTCCTTCACAGATCCCAGATACATGTCAAGTAGAACCATAATTTCACATTAGTATGAGGAAAGAAGTAGCAGAACGACAGCAGCAGGGCATCCAGTATGGTATTATATACAAGTTCTTGAAAAACACACTTGTCAAAAAGTCAAGCACCCTCGATTGCAGAGAAGAGGGGGAGAAGCTGCCCTCTTTTGTTGCTCGTAACAACAGAGCTCATTGTGAGAGTGTCTCTGGATCTCCACCAAATGTAATTCTCGTGGGCCTTCTTCACCTCTTCCAGCCTTCTATTTTATACCTCCTTTTCAATCACTTGCAACTACCCAAGAAATGCAGTTGAAAAAAAGGTAAAGCAATTAATGAAAAATAATCTACAGAAAGGCACTTACCTTCCAATTTATCAAAAATTAACTCCATCTAAGCCAATTCTATAAAACTGCATTTTCCTCACACCAGCATATGCTGGCCCAATTTAAACGACTCTTCTGAACTAAAGCTCTTTCCCATAAGATAAATGTAACAAAATCTTTGGATTTTTAACTGTTGTACCTAATGCATAAATGTTTAATTAATTCTTGTTTTGTGAAATTCAGGAAATTTATTTTTGGAAACAAAAGATGATTGCAACAAAGAGTAGAGATACTCAACAGGTCTAAGTGTCAGAGATTTGTAACAGCTGTATTCCTAATATTTAAACAAAATCTGTTTTTTTTTAATAGTAACAATGAGATAAGTCATTTTATATGTGGATATTCTTATTCAAAACTAGCAGGGCTGCTTGCACACATATTTTAAAACTAAGCATGTATTTTTCTTAAATGTATGTGATTTTTGATGTTTTTGTATATATTAAAAAATACTAAAATATCCAAATATTTTCTCAGCTTCATAAGAACCACCTCGTGTTTCAGAAATATAATACTTTTCCATATGTGAGAATTAAAATTAAATTCAAAACAGAAATTTTCATTTTAAATAAAATACGTGACAGGACTCTCAGTCAGTCACAGCTGAACACATCTGCCTAAATCTTCTCTTCTAGTGAGCTTCCCAAAAGAACAAAGAAATTATTCCATTAAAAATAAAACCAAAAATTTTTAATTAGGTTAGGCATTAAAATATTAAAATTCTTTAACAGAGAAAAACTTGAAGAGAGATGAAGTAAATTGGACTAGAAATGGAAAGAAGTTATAAAAAATCTGCACTGTTGATTGTGGGCTTTTTTTCTCAGGTTTCTTGCTTTTTGCTTGATGACTTTCTGAGTGGCAGCAAACTGTGACTAGGGCTTTTACACCCTCGAAAATCCTGCCAATTCTACACCCAACCTGGCTTCTCCCCAGACAGGATAGGGAATAGTTTTCCTTTTCAACTAGATAACCTTGCCCAGAGAGCATAACTTATCAAACTGAACAAAAATAAATTAAAAATTTCTCAGAAGCTGTAACATGACAAGACAAACACTTCAGTAGTTCAGAACGGCAAGATAAATACTCTAGTAGTTCAGGACTGGATTTCCTTGGTGGCTGAAATAATATTCTATCAAAAATGATCAGTCATTGAAGAAAGGTTAGTTGATGACATTTTGGAGTACCTTCAAATTACATGTCTGTCATGTCAATAAACAGGTGCTGTTCTTTGTTTTGTCCCAGCATGACACAGATATTTCATATCAACTTTGGTGAGAAGAGAAGCTGAAGAAAGGTGGGGATTTGGAAGGAATATGTCTGCCCTTATTGACTATTTTGTGCAAATTAGAGTACATTTTAGTAGTTATACCAATTTAAATCTGATGCCTGAAATCTCTACTTGTATATAAGTGTTTCTATTCCAGCAATGTAACTACAGAAACCAGCAGAGAAAAACTTGAGGCTAAAGCTGTATTACTTAGTTACCTAAAACTCAGGAAGCTAAATATCTGCCCCGATTTTCATAGATACAACCTATCCTCTACCTATAGCAACTTTGATTTGTCTTGATTTTTAAATATTGTCAAAATTAGAGGATGGAGAAGGTAGTCCAGAAGGTCAGTCCCACTCTAAACACAGTAAAAAACAAACAAACAACAAAACACAACTTGAGAAAATTTACAGGCATGTCTATTCCCTGAAGTATTCCCAAGAAAGAGGAT